CCCAAAACCCATAATCTCAGTCTAATCACGAGAACAAACAAACCAAATAGAGGGACATTGTACAAAATGCCTGAACGTTTCATGGTCATGAAAAACTAGAAGAGATAAAAGGTCACAAATCCGGGGAAACAGAAAACAATGCACCCTGGCCAGTGTGGCTCAGTGGTTGAGGAGTACAGGTACAGGCTTTTTCAGTAATTAAGCCTAAAAGGAACCTGCAGTCAGGCAGACTTCTAGGTGCTTGAGACTTTTGTTGACGGCCCATGGTGCTGGTAAAAGCTGACCATGGTGTGCAGCTTGGTCCTTTCCACATGCACCCAGGCCCAGCAGAGGGATCCACAAGCTGCACATTGCAGATTACTCCAAACAGGTTGCCCAGGGCCAGACACAGGCAGTGTCTGATATAGCTCTGCAATGGAGTTGCTCCAAAAAGGCCCAGAACAAATACAAGCAGTGGCCAACTTCAAACAATATAGCAGGATCCAATAAGGTTCACAAGCAGCATATCCACAGGGAAATCTAGGCCAAAACCAAAACCTGCTGAAGCGAATTTTGTTTCATGTGATCAGCAGCTTGCATGCTGTGTTGGCTGAGCCTCACTGTTAGCCAACCTGAGGGTCAATCCCACACATGAATGGGCCAATAGAAATCAAGACTCAATTACAAAGGAGGATCCACATAATGTGCTCAAGAAACATAAAGTACCCAGTCAGGTGAGCCTAATGGCTGTGCCACTGAGTCCCACAAGAATAACTACTGCATAAGGTCACTCTACCAAGATTTACTATGTAACAGAGTTACACAGTTAAAAAAATAAAAGTGGCCAAACCGGTTTGGCTCAATGGATAGAGCATTGACCTGCAGACTGAGAGGTCCCGGGTTCAATTCTGGTCAAGGGCACGTACCTTGGTTGCGGGCACATCGCCAGTGGGAGTGTGCAGGAGGCAGCTGATCGAAGTTTCTCTCATTGATGTTTCTAGCTCTCTATAATAAAATATATTTAAAAAATAAAAATAAAAGTGGTCCAATGCTTGAGCGTTGACCTATGAGCCAGAAGAAAGCAGATCTAATACATAGAAACAAATAGAAAGAGGCAGCCAAAATGGGGACACAAACATGCCCTAATTGAAAAACAAAGGATTCTCCAGAAGAAGAGCTAAATGAAATGGAGGCAAGCGATTTATCAGATATAGAGTTCAAAGTAATGATTATAAGGATGTTCAACAGAATGAAAAAGGACATAGAAGCCATAAAGAAGGGCCAGTCAGAAATGAAGAATGCAATCTTTGAAATAAAGACTACACTGGCAGACTCTGGTTGATGTGGCTCCGTGGTTGAAGCATTGGCCCATGCACTGAAGGGTCATGGGTTCGATTCCCAGTCAGGAACACCTACCTGGGTTGCTAGTTCAATCCCCAGCCTCAGCCGGGCACGTGTAGAGGTAACAAATTGCTGTGTCTCATTGATGTTTTTTCTCTCTCTCCCCCTCCCTCACTCCCTCCCTCTTGCTTTCTAGAAATCACTGTGAAAAATATCCCCAGGTGATAATTAACCACAACAACAACAACAAAAAAAAAACACTGGCAGGAATAAACATAGGTAAGATGAAGGGGAGTATGGAATCAGTGATTTGGAAGTCAAAGTTGAGAAAAACACCCAATAAGACCAGAAGAAAAAAAGAAGATAGTTTAATGGGCCTTTTGGACAACATGAAGCAAGACAATATCCACATCACAGGGGTACCAGAAGAAGAGAAAGAGTAAGGAACCTGTTTGAGAAGTAATGGCTGAAAACATCCCTAACCTAGTTAAGGAAAAATACACACATGTCCAGGAGGCATAGAGAGTTCCAAACAAGATAGACCCAAAACAGCCCACACTAGACACATCATAATTAAAATAGCAAAGACTAAATGGAAGGGATCTCAAAAGCCCCAAGAGAAAGGCAGCTAGTTATCTACAAGTTAGCTCCTATAAGACTCAGCTAATTTCTCAATAGCATTTCAGGCCAGAGGAAATTGGCATGAAATATTCAAAGTGATAAAAAGCAAGGATACTTAACCCAGCAAGGCTATCATTTAAAATTGAAGGAGAAATAACCAGCTCCTCAAACAAGAAAAAACTAGCGGAGTTTGTTACGACCATACCAGTATTACATGTTAAAGGGTTTGCTTTAAGAAGGAGGAGGAGAGAAGAAACAGAGTTAGATAATTGAAAAAATAAAAGTGGTACAGCTGGTGTACCTCAGTGCTTGAGCATTGACCCATGAACCAGGAGGTCATGGTTTGATTTCTGGTTGGAGCACGTGCCCAGGTAGTGGGCTTGAGCCCCAGTTGCAGGCGTGCCAGAGGCAGCCAATCAATAATTCTTGTCATTGATGTTTCTATCCCTCTCTCCTTTTCCCTTCCTCTCTCTAAAATGAATGAAAGCATGTTGAAAACATATACCTATAAGTAATCACCTTAAATATAAATAGCTTAAATGCTGCAAGCAAAAGACATAGGGTAGCTGAATGGATAAGAAAACAAGACCCATATATGTATGTATGTATATGTGTGTTGGCTAGAACTAATAGATGAATTCAGTAATTACAAGAACTGCTAAATGAATTCAGTAAAATAGCGGGATACAAATAAATATCCAAAAATCAGTTGCATTTTTATACACCAATAATGAATTGTCAGAAAGGGAAACTAAAAACAAAACAAAACAAAACAAAAAACACAACAACCCCATTTGCAATTGCTTCAAAAAGAATAAAATATCTAGAAATAAATTTAAGAATGTAAGACTTGTACTTGGAAAATTACAAGATACTGAAGAAAGAAACTGAAGAAGATACAAATAACTGGAAACAAACTGTGTTCATAGATAGGAAAAGTTAACATAATTAAAATGTCCAAAGTACCCAAAGCAACCTCCAAATTCAATGAAATTCCTATCAAGATACCAAAGGCATATTTAACAGAACTAAAACGAATATTTTTTTAACATTTTTATTTTATTTTATTAAATCTTTATTGTTCAGATTATTACATTTGTTCCTCTTTCTTTCCCCCCCATAGCTCCCCTC